CTCTATTCTTGCTTTTTATATTCTCTCCTATATTTGACTGATTATTAGCTTTTATATCATATTAACTTTAGATTATCTTTAACTTGCCTGCCTTGTCTGTGTGTAGCTTAGCTTATCTTAATGGTATTTGTCTAAGCTTAGTTTATTTTAGCCCTTTATTCCTGCCTACATCCCAACTTGTTAGCTGGAGTATTTCTTTTTTAGCTTCACTTAGATCAGTGTAAAGTACTTTATCTTCTCATACTGTTTTAGCTAGCGTAATTGTAGTGCAGTGGACATTAGCTTCTCCTCACTTAGCTCGGTTCGTCCCATCTTTAGCCAAAGTAGGATGTCCCCTCCACCCCAGCAGGTGCTGAGAGACCGAAGGAGTCCGCTAAAAATAACTTGGATAAAGAGTCCAACCCCATGCATGAAGCTGCTGCACTCACTGAATGCTGCATCCTAAACACACAAAGGAGCATCATCACAGATCCTTCCTCCCAGTAGCAGGCAGACTTCATAATCATCACCGTTTCTATCTAGGGCTCTACCTATTGATTAATTTAGTAATCAATTTGTTTATTTAGCATTAAACATAATTTTAATTATAAACAAAATTTTATTGAAAAAGGTTAATAATTAAAACCAATTCCACTCAAGTTATGGTAGAAATTTTCAACTTCAAACAAAGTTACAAACAGCATCAACAACCAAATTGGTTGGTTTTTCCATTCTTACTTGAATATTTTATAACTTTAAGCATCTCAACATTTTTACTGTTTTGTTTGTTTTTTTAAATATTTTTTAAGGATGCTTAGTGAAGATTTAACAGCACATTTAAACAAACAAAGCTGGTCCTTAACATGGCGAAGGAGAGAGGGAGAATAACGCCCAACATTAGCAGCATTAAAAACACCTGTATGTGAAGTAGATCCTCCACATCCTTTAATGGTTTCTTCCATTTTTGCAGAGAAATTTCCACCCTTCCGTCAATATAATATCCCAGTCTTATCAAACCAAGAAAGTGCAGGATCAGTCCATATGGAGATAGAGAGGCTTTGAGTCCGACCCACCTCTACATGACAGTTTTCATTGCCATCATTAGAAGAGTTTGCTTTACCAGTGAGTCTGGAACACCTCAAAGTGAGCAACTTAGTGGATCTAGTGGCAGCTGCTCACTTGATGCCTTGCTGATGGTTGTACGTACCATTTGGGGAGATTGGGCAGAAACCATTTTTTAGTTTTACTGTAAATGCGTGGTGAAATATAGACATTATGTAGTACGTTAAATTGTAAAGGAGTCTAGGTGGAAGTTTAACTGAAGAAACTGATTGCTCTCCTTCATCCACCTGCGACACAGCTAATCAGCTTTGGACCACACCTCCATGAAAGCCAATCAGCATCCAAAATTCATCTATAAAGGCCTCTGATCCGCAACTTGTCTGCTCCTGTGAGGGGCGGTGGTTGCTCTGTGTGACTTCATTCAGATGACCCCGTTTCAACCCACCTCCAGCCCCTCCTCCACCATCGTAGCTAAAGCTTCATCAGAGTGTCATTCCTCCCGGACTCTCACTGCATCTCATTTCAGCCGGTCCGGCAGAAGACCACCATGTTGAGCCTGGTTCTGCCAGAGGTTTCTTCCCAATGGGGAGTTTTTCCTCTCCATTGTCGCTTCATGCTTGCTCATCATGGACAGGTTCTCTAAACCGGTGTTATCAAACTGGACTTCCATCTTCCAGGTCCCTGAGTGAAGCTCTAGTATCAGCTCATGCAGTCCACTGGATCTCCCCATAAAGCTCAGCAGACCGTATCGCTAACCAGCAGTCTACAGAATGACCAACTTCATCTATCTCCACTCCACCAGTTTCAGGCCTGGGGGGGAAACAGCCCTATTATTTGCTGCTGTTCATGCATATCTATCAAAATTCTGCACCATGTTTCATGCTGAGGTCTGAGCACCAAAGGCCATGTAATTGTATCAATACATTTTTTCTAAGTGTCTTTTCACTTCATGTGAGTTTTTTTAGATTGAGATTTTGGATGCCAGCAGAAGCAACTTGTCCCAAACATCATATGGTATTTTGTGTTTAAGTGAAATACTCCAGGATTTTCTCTACCATGTTATGCTATGTTCATTAGCAGCAGGGAGCCAGGATCACATAATGTCTGATCTGCAGATATTCGTAAAGATCTTTGTATAGTAGCTGATATTGAGATTTTAGAGATTCAAATGTTTTAAAGTTTTCATTATCAGATAAATCATATATTATTTCAAGGGTGTAACGGAAGATGAAAATTGGTGGGGACACTTTAACGGTGGTTGCAGATGGACTTACAGTTACTCAACACAAATGCTTTCAATAGGGATTGTATTTTCCAAAAAAATGAGCTCAAACTGCTCAAACTGTTCATTCAAAATGTTCAGTCTCCCATAAATACTCTCCCTGTGCAGTTCCACATTGCTGGTTCCTTGTCTTTCCCTGGCTCCTTGAGTATGTTTTTCCTGATGTCTCCATGGTTCTGGTTTGTTTTGCATTTTTATGTTGGATTTCTGCCTCTGTTGCCTGTGAGAACTCACCTCTGTCTCCTCACCTCTGCATTTGGGTCCTCGAAATCTCTACCAAACCCTGACGAGGGTAGTTAGACATTAATGTATTAAAAGGATTAATAACAGCCCATTCCAATGCCAACAGCAATATATCATTCCTCCCTAGTATGTACACTATTTGTTTCATCCATCAATCCATCCAGAAAAATGTGGAGTGACTGATGGAGGTTTTCCCGTCCAGCTACATCAATGAATATCCTCCTTCAAAAGCAGCAAAATCAAATTCAGAAAACTGTCCCATTTACTGTTGAGAGCCAAAGTCTGTGTATTGAAGCTATTGGTGGGGACATGTCAACACCAGTCCTTCAGAAGGTTACGCCTGTGTATTATTGTCATGCACGGCCTCTGCCAGCTTTTGAAGTTTAATCCCACATTATTCGACTTTATTCTTGTTATTTTACGTTTTTAATCTCGAAATAGAAAAAAAATCTCAAGCCTGGCCCTAAAAACTCCGTCCTACAAAGGAACTTTAATCGTAAAAATAAATAAATAAATATATTAAGAAATTGTAGTTCTGCTTTCCACCAGTAGGTGGAGCCATGTTCAAATGAAGCTTCATGAACTGTTGAAGCAATTTGGCCAAACTGTTCAATGCTGCATGAGGCTTCATCTACCATCACTAAGTAGATTAAACCACTATTGATGTAAAACCACCTTGGATATTGTTCCAGAAATGGGCAGGGACGCTTTTATGACGCCAAATGTATACATTTTAACTGTTAGATTAAATATTTCGGTGCAGCTGGTCTATTTAAATGCACAATAAAGCTACAAAGCTTTTCGTGTGTGTTCAATGCAGAAAAACAAAACCTTTTAAAAAGAATGAAGCCAGTATCAGACCAGAACCACTGGTCCTTCCTCTGTACAGGTTCGAGCTAAACTGAACTGGAATAAAGTAAAAATCTCTGTTTTGACCAACAGTGAGGAAAATCCAGACTAACCTCCTTCTGCTTCCGGGGCATGGCTCCGGTTCTGGAGAACTGCCGAACGGACCGGGGGGAGCAGCCCGACACCAACACCGAATGAGATGCAGGATTAATGAATGAAGGAACGAACCGAATCTGGAAACAACAACCTGCCAAACCAACACCGAACCGGGGAAACATGTCAGCCAGCTCCAGAGCGCCTCTGCCTTACCGCCCCCTGCTGGACTGGAGGTCTTCATAAAAGCCAAATAACAAGGGCATGAAGCTGGTTTCACTCCATCCATCCAAATATTGACTACCTTTTTAAATCAGATTTTCTCTCTTAATAAAATAGAGATCTTTCTTCGTACTTTAGATATTGTTGATACTTATAAATAAAGTTTTTATCAACAGTTTCATCATCCTCTTCAATAAGTTTTTGGAGTACCACGTCTGAGCAGCAGAAAAACAGGACCAGAACCATCTGGATCAGATGATGCTGATGTTCTGCTTTTTGGTTCTGGGTTTCTTTTTTCATATCTTGAATCTTTCAGACTATTTAAATAAAATAACAAGTTCATATGTATTTACCTGTTTGGGGCTGTGCTTCTTAAGCCTGTTTCAAAATATTTTCCTGTTTCATTTTTTTCAAGAACTTCTTTTTTATCACTTAAGTTGCTTTGGTATTTCTGCAACAAAATAAACCACTTTGTATTTATGGGTTTGAAATGTTGTTGTGGCTCCCAGCTAATTTCTCTCTAAAAGTTTTTTATTTTTTTTTAAGTTGCTCTTTGTATTTTGTTTAATCACTAACATGTGAACCTGACTGTGTGCCTTTTTGTGAATTGTGGGTTTTGGGGCAAAAAAACAACAACAAAAAAATCACAAAAGCTTTAATAATGAAATTAGAACAGAAGCAGAATTAACCTTTATTCTTCCTTAGTGGGGAAATTCCTGTGGCCCTGCAGCAATAGTAAACATATGGAAGCATGCAGGTACAGAAAGGAGTAAAACAAAGAGAAACTACTGGGTTGTTATTGATTTAAGGAAAACATGATCAGATATTTAAAAAGTATACAACGAGAAGAGTGATTTCAAGAAATGTGCAAAGTGTAAAGACATCTGCATAATAAACACTTAAAGACCAATAACAAGATGGAAGAAGATTAAAAAAAACAATTTTAATTAATTTTCATATTCTGAATGAATCTTTGATCTTTTTCAGAAAATATCAACACCCATTTTTTCAGGCATAGTTAGGGGTTTGGTGAAAACTTTTAAAATATTCAGCTGAATCAGAACAAAACTTAAATGATTAACTTCTATTCTCTTTAGATCTTCATGTTGCCTTCTTGCAACACATTTTTCTGATACATTTTGAATTTTCTTGCCAACTAAATGTACTACAGAAAGGTTTTCTTAAAGACCACAAACTCCTGGGTGAAACCAAACTGTTGCAGGCAGAAAGGTAGAGATGACTCTGGACTTTTTTTGTGTTGTAGTGCCACCTAGTGGATAAACAGGAAAATGATTCTATTTCAAAAAAATCATTGAATATCTTTATTCGGAAAAATAAAACATATGAAAGTTTACGTGAAGTTTTAAGTTTACATATGAAACTTTTAAATCAACTTTTTGACAATATTTGTCATTAACAAACATAAAGATAAAGACAAATTAACCTTTTCAGTGATTTATAGCAATATAGTTAACACAGAAGATATATATCTGCTTTAGATCTAATCAAAACCTTTCCCATGTCCATCTCTTATTAAAATTATGTCTTTACTATGTTGTCTTAACCTTTGAAGCTGTAAAAAAAACTAATCACTTTTATAGATTTAGGAAGCCACAAGTGACTGTGCCTCTCAGCTTCTCCTTGAGGTAACCATCACCTCTTTAAAGTGACACCACACTGTCACAAAAAGACAATTCCTCTACATAATAATGCAAAAAGTTTTCGAGGTGGACCTGATGAGGCGACAAAGCTCAGCTCTCCTAAAACAGAATGAAGGATCAGTTCGGATCACCTGAACTCTGAAGAACAGAAGTAAGATCTCAGCTTGATGTGAAACTGACTGCTTTCAGAACATTTCCGTTCCATAAAGTGCAGCAGTGATCAAATGTAAAACTGATCTTCATGTTTTTTATTTCTTCATTTTATAAGCGTATAAGGAAGACTCTTTCCAATATTACCCGTTTTCCAAAGTACTAGCTAAGCAGTTGTCATTGGATCATTGCCCTATGAGTCACCTAAGGCGAAGAACCACTTGGTCCTGAAGTCAAGGAACTCCCAGTTCTACTGTATCAGGGAGACGCCTGATATGGTTAAGCATATTGTGCAAAACAGCAATAAACAACATTAAATTCCTATCAGATTTATAGTTTCCACACTGCAGATCTATTAGAATCTCTCCTTAAATTACAGCCAAACCCATTTACACAGTAACAGAAAAAAACCTTTAGATAAATCAAACATTACCGCCACATATCTGACTCTATAACCATTAAAACAACTATTTTCATTCATTTCAGACGGAACTATTCACATACTTGTATTATATGAAACTGTACTTCCAATTTTCACCACTGTTCGGCGCCAAGTAACATTTCCTCTGATCACGGAGCAGCCGGCTTGCTTGGTCTCACAATGAATCCTGGGAAAACCAAGGATACATCGGACCCATCCTTCAAATCGGGCTAAAAGAAGGACGCATTTTAAGGCCACATAAAGAGGAGTCTTGGAACCCGACCAGACCTTGACGCCACGCTGACGTAATCTTCCTTCAAATCTGGCCTTCTGAGGACCCAGCCCATGAATTCGGACAGGGCCAAGGTCACTAACCTGCTGTCTCCTACTGCAGAGGTTCCTGCCTTTGACGCCAACACTGTTCGCTGCAGTTCTGTTTATACTAAACGTTTTGAGAAATCTAACTTTCTGTCTGCCTCGAATACTGGATATATTGTTCTGAGCCTGACAGATAGTTGTTTAAATGGATCAAGAGGTCTATGACATGCCCATCATAGTGAGTGCGTGTGAAAGGAGTAAGCGTGTTAGCTGAAGCATCAGTGCTAGTATGACTGGCTTATATCTCCAAATATGAAACTGTAGCATTGGCAAATATCGTACACCTCACACATCGTGTAAACTTGTCACTATCGCTAAAGGTCAGAGAAAAGCAGAACTTTTGCTGTTATCATCATAAAGCTGAACAGAAACCCACACCTTTAGTTTCAGTAAATACCAACGTGCAAGTCGCATTCCTGGTGTTCTCCTTTTTCCTTAATCTTGGAATTTTCCTATTCATATCAAACTGTGGTGGGAAGGACTCTTTAGAGTGATGCAAATACTGCAGATCAGGCGATCGCAGTGAATAGGCACAGCAATGGGCGTGGTGGACAAACAGACAGAGGGCTGCATAATTTCTCAGTTCTCAATAAATCTCAATTCTGTCAGTTCATGTTACATCAACCAATCAGGGACCGGTTATGATGTAGCACCCCCAAAACTCCAGACCAGATGCTATTTAGATGCAGGTTTTTATGCTAAACCTGGTCAGTCCATCATAGTCTTGATTTAGGCCAGAAATTGTTCTTTACAATTGGGCCGTGTTTGTTTGGTCTGATTTGGTCACATTTTAGTCCAATAATAGACATTAAAAATGTTGCAAACCCAGTTTTCAATCATCTAAAAATTACAGCTTTTCACCTTCAACCAAATGTACATGTTTGGACGTAAATTAAGTCTTTTCAACCAATTTTTGCTCTGTGGGAGGGTGATGGTCGCAGGGGAGACAAAAGTTTTTTTTTTTTGCCAGAAGTTCATCAGGAGGGTTAATCTGTCCTACTGCTACTGATACTGGATCCTGGACAGAAGAACGCACCTCTGGAAGTGACTATTTAGCTCAAGGAGCAGTTGATGGGATGGGCTGAAATGGGAGCAGATTTGATGGACCCCCTCTTGTAGCGACCTCTGTAACTTGGACCCAATATTCAGACAGTTCAGGACGGTTTACAACAAGCTTTATTTACAACAAATAACTCAGCAAGCAGCTGATCGTCAGCGGGGCGGATAACTGGATTCACTGCAGAGGTAGAAAACACAGGTCAGTGACTGGAATGTCGGGCTAATCGTAACAAGGAGCAAAAAGTCACTGACCCGGTTCAAAGTCCAGTCAGACCCCAGACAAAAAGGGAGATTGTCCGCCGTTAGCAGCCATAGTCGCTTCAAGTGCCCCGAATGATGAGCTGATAACAGCTGAGCAACAGTGTCTTTAAAGGTCAGAGAAACAGTCCAGGTTCGATAACCAGCAGGATCCAGGAAAACAGTGCAAAAAACACAGAAGACAGAGTAGACAGGGGCAAGGCAAAAACTCCAAAACAGAAAACATGTCAGAATCAGGACTTATTTGAAGGCTAGAGTTACTCTCACAGCAGCTGAAATAATCTGGCACTGGTGGCTGAAAACAAAGAGCATATATAGGAGCTGGAAACAGGTGGATAAGATAAGTGATAATGAGAAACTGGGCAGTTAAACAGGTGAATGGAATGAGCAATCAAGCCATTCACCAGCGCCAGGATCATGACACCTCTCAGCTGGGTCACTCCTTGGTCTGGCTCTGTAAAGGAAAGGTCACAGTCATTTATGTTGTCTTCTTAAAAATGTTCATTTACTCTAAAGGTTCTTCTGACCTGACAAGAATGTGGTTTGATTCTCCTCACCGGCAGTTAAAGCAACCTAAGCGTCAGCTCCAAAATTTAATTTAAATGATTTTAAACCTTGAAGGCCACATCAGACTTTATCTGATGTTTTAGAAAAAACTAATTAGATGAAAATAAATTTGGCAAATTTAAAGCTCTGGATGAGTGCTGTGCTGCAGTGCAGAAGGAGGTGGAGCGAAGCAGGAAACACATGAAGCTGATAAGTATTCAGGCCTCGTCTGGACTGCATCAGGATAGGAACCACCTCCTCCTTCATCCTCATACACCCCCCACCTCCTCCTTCTCTCTATATCCAATGCATTGGGATTTTTTTCATCCAGGCAGGAAAATAGGGAGGAACCTTTTTTCCTGCCCTTCCTGCAGGAAAAAGGCAAGTTAACAAGCTCTCATCTCTGTTCAGCCGCTGTCATTCATTCATTTGAACATCATCTAATTATTGACAGGTCATCTCTGCTTTCTGAGATGCCAAGTTTGGCTGATTTAAGATCTCCGTTTGTTT